AACCCTCCTCTCCATAAGAGACACAGCAGTTTCTACGCCACTTGAGAGCTTTTTCCTGTGAGAGGATCCATGGCTCCTTCGGGAGCTTTCTCCGTTTTCTTTAATCTTTCTTTATTTTCGTCTTCGGACTTATTCTTACGTTTAGTTTCAGTGAAATGAGCGTAATCGGCAACTTCAACCTGAAGGAGACTCTTTGAATCTGCAGCGACCACGCTCGCCCGGAAGAGCTGAGAAAGCACGCACCCGCTCTTAAGGACACACACGCAAGACGCGGTTTTCCTCAGCAACACCAGGAGAACCAAAGACCTTTAAGCCTTCATTCAAACTAACGCGCTTTGCCCGCTCTGAAAGACCACGTGAACGCATGACGCGAGGACAGAGACACACACGCCTTCTTCACATCAACCATAAAAGAGCTTTACCTGTGCAAGTAACCGTTTACCATTCTTTCGAGGTTTAAGATCTGTGATTCTTGTTGTCTCAAAAGGTTCTGTCTGTGATGAATTTTGCCAAACCAGAAGATCTCTCATCTTCTTAAGGGGGTCGCACACCGGACGAGAAGCGCAGCGCCGCGTCGCGCAGCGCCAGGTCTTTAAAATTCGAACACATTATTCTCTATGAGTGTACACACACCGGCGGCGCCATTCGGCGTCTGTCCGCGGCGCCCAGCTACGGCTCAGGACCTTGTTCAAAACCCTGCCGCGCCACAGAGTGCCATTTGCATAGTTTTATATTAAATTTCCATTTATTTGTCTCAAATCGTCGTTAATGTACATGGCTTCACCCTGTGCTGTTTTCACTCGGGTTAGCTAAACGCTAGCTAAATAAATACTATTGTATTATGTGACATAGTTGCCTAGACAACGGATAACGTTACAACAAAATAACAGACTCAACGTGATAGACACTTTTACTTGATTAACGTTCAAACATCAGCTATTATTCAATGAACATAAAAAAATAAATAATAAATCAAGATAAAACACACATCGTGCAGCTCTTCTACCAGGAGTTGATTCAAAATTGTGCTCGCGCGATTAGAATGTGCGCGTCCGGTGTGCGATACCTGGAGTTGTTCTAGACGTGGCGCGACGCGGCGCTGCGCTTCTCGTCCGGTGTGCGACCCACTTTACTCTCTCTCTCTCTCTCTCTCTCTTGTTTGTTATTCGTCTGTCTCGTTAGTTTTACTGTTTAACTGTACATACATGTATCCTGTGTTCCAATGTAGAATTCTGTACCCGTAATTTCAATTATTAAAACCATATTCTTGATGGATCCTGAAGTGCTCATTTACAAGTCAATGAAATGATGATCTCATAGCTACAAAGCTTTACAAGTTGTTACTATATCAGTAACGTAAATTTTATAAACACGAGAAAATTAATGTTCACGGCTGGAACATTGAGATTTCTTGGAGTTTATAAAAAGGGATAACTTTGTTGAGAAGTTGGTAAGTTAATCTTACGGCTGTTTGCTGGACAAACCGATTGTTTGATAACTAATTAATTCCCTTAATGTTATCTCATATAATCGATCTGTAATGAGACCATTGATATATGAATGAGGAATTATAATTCGTTATGATTTACCATTCATACATACGATCGATCTGTTTTCAATTTCGATAATATAACTGTAATATGCAAATATATTAATCATATTTCATGATTAATTATTAAAATTCCCTATAAATAATTTGAGCTAATTAAGGCACATCTCAATGTGGCTACATTTTGCAGATTTAATTGCTGAAGTTTAAAGGAGAACTCCGGCGCAAAATGAACCTTTGGTCTAATTACACATTGTTACCTAGTCAACCGTTATCTGAGATTTGTTTTCATGATTATCGAATGTAAATAGTTTTATCTCTAAAAACAGTTTAGCCTATAAAGCTAGTATAATGCTAGTATATTGGGCATAGTGTAATGACAAATAAAAATCGCTTGTTAATACCACTAACAAGGCTGAAAATAGCCCCACACTAACACGGTAGCATAATGAGGGTCCCTACCTTCAAACCGAAGCATTGAGAACTTTGTCAGTGTCCAGACAGTTTAATAAGAAGATATTTTAAACATACAGTCAACTTCGTGAATACAGGCAGGAGCCATCTTTGAAATACAGCCTTTACCAGTCGATCTACGAACGCCGATCCAAGCCTGCTGTTCGCGCTCACCTTATCACAACTTATAGCTCGTTCACATCTCACCAGCGCACTTGGATCGGCGTTCGTAGATCGACTGGTAAAGGCTGTATTTCAAAGGTGGCTCCTGCCTGTATTCGCGAAGTTGACTGTATGTTTAAAATATCTTCTTATTAAACTGTCTGGACACTGACAAAGTTCTCAATGCTTCGGTTTGAAGGTAGGGACCCTCATTATGCTACCGTGTTAGTGTGGGGCTATTTTCAGCCTTGTTAGTGGTATTAACAAGCGATTTTTATTTGTCATTACACTATGCCCAATATACTAGCATTATACTAGCTTTATAGGCTAAACTGTTTTTAGAGATAAAACTATTTACATTCGATAATCATGAAAACAAATCTCAGATAACGGTTGACTAGGTAACAATGTGTAATTAGACCAAAGGTTCATTTTGCGCCGGAGTTCTCCTTTAAGTGCAATTTGAATGTTCACCCTCAGAAAACTTGCACTGAGGAGAATAAGTAGAACATATAAAGTGGTTGTCGACACGACAGCCATCGGCACTGATTCTCAACAAACTCGTCTTCATACGCCGTGATAACTCCGGTCTTCAAACTATAATGCTGCCTGAATAATAATAATAATACACTGTTTGATCGCTGGCCAGAGGAGAACCATTCCCTCCCATTCCCAGACCATTCCAGAGTCTCGTCCCGTCATGAGCGCCACCATACCAGAGTCTAATCCCAAGATGGCCGCCGCCGTTCCAGAGTCTCGTCCCGTCATGGCCGCCGTTCCAGAGTCTCGTCCCGTCATGGACGCCGTTCCAGAGTCTCATCCCGTCATGGCCGCTGTTCCAGAGTCTCATCCTGTCATGGCCGCTGTTCCAGAGTCTCGTCCCGTCATGGCCTCTGTTCCAGAGTCTCGTCTCGTCATGGCCGCTGTTCCAGAGTCTCATCCCGTCATGGCCGCCGTTCCAGAGTCTCGTCCCGTCATGAGCGCCACCATACCAGAGTCTAATCCCAAGATGGCCGCCGCCGTTCCAGAGTCTCGTCCCGTCATGGACGCCGTTCCAGTCTCGTCCCGTCATGGCCGCTGTTCCAGAGACTCGTCCGTCATGGGCGCTGTTCCAGAGTCTCGTCCCATCATGGCCGCTGTTCCAGAGTCTCATCCTGTCATGGCCGCCGTTCCAGAGTCTCGTCCCGTCATGGCCTCTGTTCCAGAGTCTCGTCCCGTCATGGCCTCTGTTCCAGAGTCTCATCCCGTCATGGCCGCCGTTCCAGAGTCTCGTCTCGTCATGGCCGCCATTCCAGAGTCTCGTCTCGTCATGGCCGCCGTTCCAGAGTCTCGTCCCGTCATGGCCGCCATTCCAGAGCCTCGTCCCAAGATGGCCGCCGCCGTTCCAGAGTCTCGTCCCACTTGGCCGCCATTCCAGAGCCTCGTCCCAAGTTGGCATCTGCACATCATTCCCAATCACTCACACCTGCACCTCATCATCCCCTTTATCACTGACACTATTTATAGACACACTTCACCCCAGCTCATTGTCCGGTCTCGTTAATGCCAAGTGGACCTCCCTGTCTCCAGTGTCTCCATTCCCTCCTGTAAAATGACTTTTCTCGTTTTACCTTTGGAAAGCAGCATTGTTATGCAACTGAATAAAAAGTTGGTCAGCAGCATTGTTACTTTTAGTTTTTCCTCGAAACTGATGAAATATTAACAAACATCAAGCATAAATCATTTTTGTAAATCATTGCATTTATTCTTAAAATGACCCAGACATTAACAGAAAAAACAGGATATGAGCTTTATATAATCAAGAATAGTTCTTCTAACAAGGAAGTGTTGCTAGAGCGGGAAATAACTACTGAAGCCAGCACTGCTTTACTGCACGAGTTTATAAGATCATAATGCATATGAGCACATATGATATTATACACAGTTTTTTCTTTGTTTGATTTGAGACCTTTTTTGTCAAACACCAGCATTGCTGTGTTCAGTATTTTGTAAAGCATGTTTTAAAGCAGAAGTGAATGTTTTTCATGTGAGCAGGAATGGAAAAAGCCCTTCAACCACACGCTAGACACACTATTCACACCAGACACACTCTCTGACATCAAACTCGCACAGCTCAGGTACAACAGATCAAACTACATTTGTGTACAGAGGTCATAATTGAGACCACAGCAGAGTCTCCAATCCTTTTGATGTGTTTTGCAAAGTTATTTGCATCTACATTTTGCACCTTTTTCATGAGATTTACATATGTTGACTTTAGGAATTTAACAGTCACAATATCATTGCTCCAATGGGCCATAAGGTTTAGATCAGAGGTCTTCATTAACCCTGCTCTTGGAGGACTACTGTCCTGCAGAGTTTAGTTCCAACCCTGCTTCAACACACATAGCTACCTGTAGTTTTCAAATAAGCCTGAAGGACTCGATTAGCTTGATCAGATGTTTAATAGGGTTGAAGCTTATGCTGCATTCATGCCATGGTTGTCTGTCAAGCCCACTTGGCTCATAGAGTTGACATAGGGGAGACCACACTGAACTTAATATTTAATTAAAATGCTGGTTTATTAATGCATGATTTACAAAGAACAGTAAATAGGAAGCATAACAAAAAGAAAACTGGCAAGGAGCGCCGACCGACGCCATCCTCTCATTGTCAAGCCGAAATAGCAGGAAGAGACCAAGCCAGCTGGAACAAAATGATTTTATCCACTCCCTCATCAGTCCACCAATTAGCATGGCACGACCCACCGCAACAGCTCCACCTAAAAGTGAGACAGAACATCAACAGTAGGCAATACAGGCTTAATTGCCCACACCTGGCCAAGCCGGGCGTGACAGTCACAGGTCACACAGTTGGATTTTGTACTTAGAAAAACACCTTTTTGTTCATCTTATTGTGAGAGGTGCATAATCCACATGATCATGCTCTTCAACTTTCTGTAAAAAAAAAACAAAAAAAAAAAAAACACATAACACATAACACAAGAAAATAATAATAGATAGTAGGTTCATCCTGAAGATTGAGAATGTGATAAATAGTGTTTTCTAATAACATTTATCAGCACTGTTGTGTGAAGAAAATGTCCTTCCAGTGATCTGATCCAAACAACACAATAAGAACGCTTGTTATTTTCCTATTGTGTTTTTTTCATCACAGATTACATTTTAGCAAGTAATTAGTCATTTGAAAGTATAATATATAAGCAATATATATATATATATATATATATATATATATATATATATATATATATATATATATATATATATATATATATATAGTGCTGTAGTGTGTGTGTGTGTGTGTGTGTGTGTGTGTGTGTGTGTGTGTGTGTGTGTGTGTGTGTGTGTGTGTGTGATGGACATGGAGCATTAAACATGTAAAATCTACATCTGAATTTGCTGGGATGATACAAACAAATTAATAATAAATTGTCTTACTAATTTATTTGCGTTTCTTTTGTAGAACACTGGATCAGTGTAAGTGATCTCTTCTGCACAAGTCTCATCTGTTTCTGAAACAACAATAATAGATGCATTAAAACAGTTTATTTACAACATATGTGTTGTTGTTATTATGGCTGTCAAAGATAAAGCATTAATGCATTTCATTAAAAGTTAAACTTCAGTTTTTAAAAATGACATTAATAAATTTAATCTGACATTACGCCTATAACTTTTACACACACACAAAAAAGTTACAGAGTTTTTGTATATCATTAAATTTAGAGAGACACTTTTACAAATATTTTATAAAGCAAACCCAGGTGTTACGGAAGCAGACTCAAGAGATGGATATGAATGCAAACAGGAAGTTTATTGACAACATCAGGGCTGGTGAACGGGAAGCAGGTGAGTGATAAGTGCAATGCTGGATTGGAGAGTGGTGTGCTGGCAGTGAAAGGAATGTGTCTTCTTACAGAGATAGTGGTGGATCGATGTAGACATGGAGAGATGAGATGTAGGATCGCTGGGGACTTGGAGAATTCTGGAGACTTGGAGAACGCTGGAGACTTAGAGAATGCTGGAGACTTGGAGAACGCTGGAGATTTGGAGAACACTGGAGACTTGGAGAACATTGGAGACTTAGAGAACGCTGGAGACTTAGAGAACGCTGGAGACTTAGAGAACGCTGGAGACTTAGAGAACGCTGGGGACTTGGAGAACGCTGGAATTTTTGGAGAACACTGGAGACTTGGAGAACACTGGAGATTTGGAGAACACTGGAGACTTAGAGAACGCTGGAGATTTGGAGAACACTGGAGATTTGGAGAACACTGGAGACTTGGAGAACATTGGAGACTTGGAGAACGCTGGGGACTTGGAGAACGCTGGAGACTTAGAGAACGCTGGAGACTTGGAGAACACTGGAGACTTGGAGAACACTGGAGATTTGGAGAACACTGGAGACTTGGAGAACATTGGAGACTTAGAGAACGCTGGAGACTTGGAGAACGCTGGAGACTTGGAGAACACTGGAGATTTGGAGAACACTAGAGACTTGGAGAACGCTGGAGACTTGGAGAACATTGGAGACTTAGAGAAAGCTGGAGACTTGGAGAACGCTGGAGACTTGGAGAACATTGGAGATTTGGAGAACACTGGAGACTTGGAGAACATTGGAGACTTGGAGAACGCTTGAGACTTGGAGAACGCTGGAGACTTGGAGAATGCTGGAGACTTAGAGAACGCTGGAGACTTGGAGAACGCTGGAGACTTGGAGAACGCTGGAGACTTGGAGAACACTGGAGATTTGGAGAACACTGGAGACTTGGAGAACATTGGAGACTTAGAGAACGCTGGAGAGTTGGAGAACACTGGAGATTTGGAGAACACTGGAGACTTGGAGAACGCTGGAGACTTGGAGAACACTGGAGACTTGGAGAACACTGGAGACTTGGAGAACATTGGAGATTTGGAGAACGCTGGAGATTTGGAGAACGCTGGAGATTTGGAGAACACTGGAGACTTGGAGAACATTGGAGACTTGGAGAACATTGGAGACTTGGAGAACATTGGAGACTTGGAGAACGCTGGAGACTTGGAGAACGCTGGAGACTGAAGAAGTCAGGTAGCTCGTAGGAGGTAAGGTGAGTAGTCCTCTTTCCAACCAACGAACAAGACCGAACAGTGAACAGTGGAGAATCGAGTCCTTAAAGGTATTGTAGGTAGGAATTTTATAAAAAACTTTATTCCAAATTTGTTTAAACTTTCTGTAAATATCAATGCATAATTAAAATGTAAGTACTCTGATAAAAAGAGTATAACAATCGAGTGACTCTAGACCGTTTAATCTGCACTAAACACAGCTCATTATTTCCATTCGGGACAAACAAAGGATTGGCTTAGGCGACTGTCACTCTCTCGCAACCATGGCAACCACCCTTTTGCCACACAGGACCTGCCCACTTGCGCGTACCCGTTTGATTTTAGGAATTCAAGAGGCACGGAACCTAGGAATAGCAAAACAATGGCAGAGGAAGACCAATCAAAATTCACATGCAGTTCGCGAAGCCAAAACCAGGCAAAAAAAGGAAGACAGTAACGTTACTAGAAAAGGTAATGAACAAAAAGTCTTTGGATAAACAACAAAATAAAACGCATGTCAAAATCGGCGTGGCTTTCCAGCGATGGCGAGAACTGACAGACCTCAAGGGGCTGAAAAGTGACGCCTTGTGACGACCTCCTCTGCTTCGCCCTCGACCCCGGATCTGTCCTCGAGCTGACGATGCGGTACTTGTCTCTGGAGTGTAGTCCTCATCAGAGTCAACAATGCTTTCATCATAGAAAATTTTACATGCAGAACACCATATATGTTATGTGAATGTTACACGAAATTCATCTTCATCGCAGTGTAAATGATGGCAATGGAAAAACGTGTATCATGCAACCTGTTTTTAGCTTTGCCTTATAGATAACTAGCTCGTTAGCGAATCAATTAATATATATTTTAAACTTCACCAATATCAATATGCTAGCTTGATAGTGAGTACTAAAATACATCTTATTTGTTTATCTTCATAATGATAAAGTTAGATTTTTTTATTACATGTGATTCTGACATGATGTCACTACATGCACTGCGCTCCTTCCTCTCCGCTCGTCTCAGGTAAATAATGCGTCTTCAGCTCAGTGGTCGGAGTCGCGCGTTCATGTGTTTTTGGGGCGTGGCTTTGGAAGGAGCCCAGAAGGGAGGGGGTGGAGTGAATGGAAATAATGAGCTGTCTTTAAAACAGTCGTGAGAGGTCTAGAGTCACTCGATTTTTATACTTTCTTTTCCAGAGTACTTACATTTGAATTATGCATTGATATATACAGAAAGTTTAAACAAATTTGGAAAAAAGTTTTTTATAAAACTCCTACCTACAATACCTTTAAGTAGTTGGACGGAGTGATGATTGTGATGATGAGGTGCAGGTGTATGTGATCAGGAATTAACCCCTCCCCCCCATTTTTCTTGGGGAGCTCACTGGACTCTGGAGGAAGACAGAGACTGGAATCCCTTCTGGGCTCTGGAAGAGAGCGGTGGCTGGAGATTCAGGCGGGGCAGTGGCCATCATGGACGAGGCTCTGGAATGGCGGTCTCGGCGGGACGAGACCTTGGAAGGGTGGCCTCTGCGGAACCAGACTCTGGAAGGGTGGCCTCGGTGGAACACGACTCTGGAAGGGTGGCCTCTGCGGAACGAGACTCTGGAAGGGTGGCCTCAGCGGGACAAGACTCTGGAAGGGTGACCTCGGCGGGACAAGACTCTAGAAGGGTGACCTCGGCAGGACGAGACTCTGGAAGGGTGACCTCGGCGGGACGAGACTCTGGAAGGGTGACCTCGGCAGGACGAGACTCTGGAAGGGTGACCTCGGCAGGAGGAGACTCTGGAAGGGTGACCTCGGCGGGATGAGACTCTGGAAGGGTGACCTCGGCAGGACGAGACTCTGGAAGGGTGACCTCGGCGGGACGAGACTCTGGAAGGGTGACCTCGGCAGGACGAGACTCTGGAAGGGTGGCCACGACGGGATGAGACTCTGGAAGGGTCGCCTCGACGGGACGAGACTCTGGAAGTGTGGTCTCGGCGGGACGAGACTTTGGAGTGGGATCACAGACTGACATGAACCTGGGTGACTGTGACTGAGTGGTGTTGGCCGACTGTGAGGGGAGAACGACTCAGCCACAGCACATAATCATTGTAACTGGTTAGGGAACATGTGGTAGTAGCTGCAGGTACCTTGCTAAAATAATAGTTGTCCAAACCCGTCCAGAAGACAGTCTTGAGTGTCCCCTCGTTCCAGGGCACCAGATGGGCAAGGTTGAGGAACTCTTCGACATACTTCTTTATTCGGTTGGTGGTCTGGGGAGATGGTAAGAAGCCTAGGAAGTCATTATTCATAGATACTTTAATTTGAGCATTAGCTCCAACTTTACACATTTAAAATGAAAAGGAACTAGATCCTGTTAAAAACTAAATTATATAATGGTGATGCTATTTTCAAAGTATTTTTATAAAAAGAAGGTAAAATTTGCCTTCTTGATCTCTTTTTCTTTGTTTTTTGCAGATGCAAAAGATCCCAACGACTACAGCAACAATCATCAGAGATCCAGCAGACATCAACACTATCAGAGACACTGAGACTGGAGGAAATGGAGAGAGTATGTCCAGATCTGTAATGATGAAGAAAGAAGTGAATGCGACAGTCTGATCTATACAACAGAAGACAGAGATCAGGTCAGTAAACACACACATATATCATCAGTGCTGCTGTACCTGCACATGTGTGACAGAGTGTGTTGATGTCCAGATGTGTGGTCTGGTTGCTGATGGGATTGTTCAGCACACAGCTGTAGGTGTTTTTATCCTGATATTCCACCTCCAGAGGTAGAGAGAGACTGATGCTGAGATCACACACACTAATGCTGGACAATACACTCATTCCTGCGTACCAGGAGAGAGTCATATGACTCACATTCACAGCTGAACACAACAATGAACAATTTGATGATGATGAAGAACATTGTGAAGAGTTTCTGCTGATGACAGGAACAGGCAGACGAGCTGAAAAACATGACAGAAAAAGCAGAAATATGGATAAATCGGTAACACTTTAGAGTAATGGTCTGTTGTTAATAAGTAACTATGCAGGACTAATGCAGGACTTGTAATGGACTCTGCATTGGCCTTCCAAAAAAAGACCATAAGACAGTTGCAGCTCATATAGAATGCAGAACCATAAAATATGAACATATCACACCGGTCCTCAGGTCTTTGCACTGACTTCCAGTTACATTGATTTTAAAATATTATTACTGGTATATAAATAACTGGACCTCAATACATTGCAGATATGCACTGAATACAAACCCAAAAGATCACTCAGATCATTAGGATCACATCAGCTAGAAATACCAAGGGTTCACTCAAAGCATGGAGAGTCTGCTTTTAGCTATTATGCCAGCCGCAGCTGGAACCAGCTTCCAGAGGAGATCAGATGTGCTCCTACAGTAGTCACATTCAAACCCAGACTCAAAACATTTCTGTTTAGCTGTGCATACTGAGTGAGCACTGTGCCACTATTCGTACGACAGTTTGCACTGTATTTTATTTCCTTTTTATCCTAAACTGTTTGAATTATTTTTATTTCTTTTGATAATTTTAATTCCTTCTGTAAAGCACGTTGACTTACCATTGTGTATGAAATGTGCTATGTAAATAAACTTGCCTTGCCTTGGCTAATGAGTACTACATTAATACTACAACTTTTACTATTAACAAATATGGAAACAAGCTTAACTATAATCAGTAAGTCATTTCAAATTTTGGACCAAGATTGTTCCTTATTAGGTAATCAATAATTACTTAATGAGATTGGCACAGGTAATAGGTAATTCTGACAAATTATAAAGAATTACTAATTAATTACTAATCACAACATAAACGTGTCTGAGACGTTAGCAATTGTCTTTTTTTTACGCTCAGTGGTGGTCATAAAATGCATCACCAATTTCTCAAGTACTACCTAGTCACTCTCCAAGGACTATTAGTGATCTGAAACCTTAATATAAAGTGAAAAAATATGTTTTATTTTCTGATTAGTTAAGCTTGTTTTCATATTAGTTAAAAGTAGCAGCTGAATTTTTAATGTAGTACTACTCATTAGTCTGCATTTATTCCCCATTATTCTGTCCTCATTATTCTAAAGTGTTACCGATAAATCTAATAAAGTTAATTAAGTTAAAAGTTAGTTTGTCATCCCACACACTTAAATCTTTTTAATCCCATATATCATCAGTGCTGCTGTACCTGCACATGTGTGACAGAGTGTGTTGATGTCCAGATGTGTGGTCTGGTTGCTGATGGGATTGTTCAGCACACAGCTGTAGGTGTTTTTATCCTGATATTCCACCTCCAGAGGTAGAGAGAGACTGATGCTGAGATCACACACACTGATGCTGGACAATACACTCATCCCTGCGTACCAGGAGAGAGTCGCATCACACACACTCAACACTGATGAACACACCAATGAACATGATGATGATGATGATGATGATGATGAACAGTCTCTGATGATGACAGGAACAGGCAGACGAGCTGAAAAAGAGAAACATTTGAACAGTTCAGAAAGTGTTTATTGAAGTGTCAGTCCGTCCGTGATTGTCTCATATGATCTTAACTTCCTCTCCATGTATTTATAAAAGGTTATTTACACATATGGAGAAATATCAGAGAGGAAAATTATGCTTAATTGAAACTATTCTATTATCTACTATAATATAGCTAAAAACAGGCGAAACAAACATTAAACTTACAATAGACAGTGAGATTGAAACTCTTGATCACACTGTTGATCTGAAGTTTATAAACTCCAGCATGTTCAGTTGTGGTGTGTGTGATGGTCAGAGATCCAGTTTGATGATCCAGCTTCAGTCTGTCTCGTATTCTCTTAATCTCTGAATCAGGCTCATGTGATGAGAAGATTACAGCACCTTTACGGATTTCAGCTAGAATAATATTTCCTGCAAAGGTCCACCGTATGTGGTCGTCTTTATGTATTTCAGTAAGATCAGTGTTTAGAGTAACAGAATCTCCCTCCATCACTGACACTGAATCACCAAACACACCTGATGAACATGAACAGGTTTTACACAGATTAAATAGAATTGAAGAACAGCAGCAGAGACAAAGTACAGGTTTAAATAATGCAGGATATATATTCAATACATTTGTATTTCTAAATTTCCACAACGTTTGAAGTTGTGCAAAAGTATTTAAAAATTATTTAATTCATGTTTTAGAAATTACTTGGGGAAAACTTGCATTTATAATCATTGAAATTAAGATTTCTAGAACAAGAGAGATCTGAAGACAGATGAAAACAATTGAACTGAAGCAGGATTTTATTACTCTAAATAAAAGACACAAATATAACTTACTGATCAGGCTCCACCAGCACAAACAGAACAAAACAAACACGTGAAACATTTTCAGTTGTTCAGTCAAACATCTGATCTAATAAAACTACAACTGAACTAAGGAAACACAACAGAAGTAATGTGGCTTGTGAATCCTCCCCCGACAGAGTCTGACCAATAATGCACACGCACATGCGCATGATGTGCAGTTACATATGTAATATAAGAATGCTTCTGCCTTTTAGTAAGACTAACTGTTCTTAATGGTGGAAAACACTTTATTTTTTATAATTTAACATTGATAGTGGTTAAAACTAGTTGCCTGACTGTGTTAAATATATAAATGTTGAAGAATATTTTCTACATTTTGGATAAACCACATTTTATGGTAAAATGGAGCTTCAGGTTGTGTGTAAATATTCAGTTCTCAAGTTTAGTTTTTTGGAAAAAGTAAACAGTTAAAACCATGTATGATCTCACAGAACCAATTTACTGAAGTTTATCTCCTGAGTCAAACTGAAACCTGATCTGGCCATTTTTTTAATTTATTTTTAGAAATGTGGTTTGACTGTTTGATGGGGGAACATAAAGCGCATGAAGGAACGGGCATTTCGTGTGTGTGTGTGTGTGGTTTGTAAGTGAAGAGCCTCTTCCTGTCCTGCTGTAAATGGCTTTGCTAGACATGAGATACTGTGATAAATAGAGGGAGAAAAGCAATAGATACACATAATTTTCATATGATCATATTTAACACTGCCATTCAATATTTTATTTTGTAAAAGTTACTATTTTTTGTTAGTTTGTTTTAGAAAATCATCCTTTATTTATTATAATAAACAAAACTGTAACACTTTGATTTAAGGTGACATATTTACACGCTACTACATGTATACTTATTATTAGTAATAACAGTAAATGATGCATAATTACAAGTAACTAACCCTAAACCAACCCTAAATGACTCTAAAGTAGTTGCATGTAGTTCATTAATATTACTCGGAACTTATTTGAGTTAGTATGTAACTACGTCAACTTAAAATAAAGTGTAACAAAAAAAACAGTTTTCATATTCTAAAGGTTGTACAGGTGAAATTGAACCTATATCCTTTATTTGCATAAAGTTTTCATTTCACATTACTTTAATGTAAACTAATTGAAAACTGTATCTATAAAATTAAAGCTGTTAATCTGAAATTTCTATACCCACTGTAAAAAAAAAAAAGGTGACAGGGAGTGCAGTAGCATTGTTAACCACCACGCAAACCATGTGTTCTTGCCTAATTAGTTTAGTTTTTGTTTGTTTTCCCCTGGATCCCCTCTCCTTTTTGTTGTATCTAGCTCTTCTTCAAATCTACTACCTGCCCTCCAGCACTGCAAGATTACAACTACACCTCTCTTTTTCTCTCTCTCTCTCTCTCTCTCTCTCTCTCTCTCTCTCTCTCTCTCTCTCTCTCTCTCTCTCTCTCTCTCTCTCTCTCTCTCTCTCTCTCTCTCTCTCTCTCTCTCTCTCTCTCTCTCTCTCTCTCTCTCTCTCTCTCTCTCTCTCTATCTCTCTCTCCTGCCATTGCCACTCTACACCCCCTGGTGTTCATCTGTGAGCTCGCCTATCTCGTTGTCCTTGGACTGTACTGAACTCATCTCTCTCCAATGTATTTGTTTGTATCTGCTTTTCTTTTCCTTTCTCTAATGCGTCCTGTTGGGCTGATGTGTCTGACCCACGTACCTGTCTGGAATCCTTCCTGATTCCTCTCCGGATTGTGGCCTCGCTATTTCTCCCTCTGTTCCCATTTTTTTGTGTCTTTGAAATTCAATAAATCACCTTTTTTTAACACCCTGGCACAATGGCATTTTTTTATCCATTGATTTTTACTGTCATTTGTTATAACTATATGACCTCTTATTAACAAGAAAGAAAAAATGCATAACATATAAGCCAGTTCTCCATTAGACACTGATGTTTCCTGTTGAGTGTTTCCAAGTGCTGATGCTGTTTTTAACTGCTGTTTCTAAAAAAAAAAAACAGGAGATGGCGCCATTGATCACTTAAAATCAAATCAAAATCATAAAAGTGATGACCAAAGTACTGTCTGTCTTTATCACTACAGATTGAGGGGAGTGTTATCTGAGATACTTAAGTATGTAACACTGATCATCATAATGGTGAATCAAAGCAAACTATTATTTCAATAAAACACCAACATCTAAACCTCTGATCATTCTAAATTAGACCTTCTGTAGATGTCTGACAGAAATAAAGTCAACCTGGTTAGTAATGAAGAAAGCTGGTAATGCTGTTTGTGGAGTTGATCCTCCTCTGCCGATATCTTGGGAGATCTGTTAGTGTTTAATGTTCTGTTGGGGTTTAAAAGGTTTCTGTTGTCTGAGTTTTGTGAGATTACCGTTGTGCTGAAGAGTGCTTCAGTCCAAGATGAGCCAGAAAACATTGATGGTATGCTGTATGTTGCTTTATTTAAAGGCAGTAACTGTGTCAATAACGCAGTGATTAGCCTACATTCGCTCATGCATATGTGCTATTGCTAGCAAACAGTTAACTCCCAAGACATTTTACAATGGGTGTACATTACAATATGTCTACAATTTAAGGTGTTAGATCATAATAATTTTTAAAATCTGTAATGTTTTACTTTTATTTATTTTTTTACAGTGTATGGTTTAGTAATGAATCTGATTTTTCTATTCTTTTTCCTTTTTTTTTTCAAAATGGTGAATATTATTTGTCACACGTTGAAGAAACATTGGTCAAAACATTTACAACGTCAAACCATGTGCAACACGTGAATACATACATTTTGGCCTTTTCCTAACACAAAGATATCATATGGATTTCTAAGATTTGCACACAAATCTTTATGATGCTTTTCTGCCATTTGTGAACCTGGGGGCTGTTCCATAAATGAAGCTTAGAAAAGCGGGGATTAAACTCCAAAACCGGACTTGAATGAGCCTAACAAATAAGTTGGGGCTAAAGTGGTTCCATAAAAGGTAATTGAAGCTCACTAATTTGATCCAGGTTTATCTAGTCTAGATAATTGCGTGTGCACGCGTTTCTGAAGCAGCCCTAGAGGTCGATCGTGGATCAAATCGATGATTTGATGATTTGGGGCGGCAGTGGCTCAGTGGTTCATGTGGGTTGTCTACAAACCGGAAGGTTGGTGGTTCAATCCTCGGTTCCACCTGACCAAGTGTCGAGGTGTCCATGAGCAAGACACCTAACCCCAGCTGCTCCCGACGAGCTGGATGGCGCCTTGCATGGCTGCCGTCGCCCGTCGGTGTGTGTGAATGAGTGAGTGAATGGGTGAATGTGAGGCAAATTGTAAAGCGCTTTGGTGGCCATTGGGTCTGTGAAAGCGCTATATAAATGCAGTCCATTTACCATTTACCACCATCAATCAGCGTATATTTTGTGCTGTTTTATGCGTTTATGACATGTTTTTTTTCCCCCTCAGTGCAAAAATTACATTTTACAGTTATATTCTCCATCTGTAAATGTTAGAAAGTCGTGCAAATGTATCCATTTTGCTGCTAATCTTCATATTGAACGAGCGCTGCTGCGCGCATGCGCGCCAAATAGGAGCGCAATAATTCTGACTAAAATATACATTTTGCTTGGAAAATTAATATGCGATATTTTCTAACACTAGAAATATCTTCTAATTATAATAATTTCTCTTTAGGATGTTGGATAAGTTGCAATAAACTTCTAGCTCATTACACTCATATTTTATAGCCTACTTCTAATAAAAAAAAGAAATTGAACAGAAGTAGCCTAATTCAGGGAAGATTTTTTTTTTAAGAAACTAAATATATAAAGATACAAAATATAGTTTTGGGTATAGGACCTATGCTACTTTATAAAGATGATATATACTTATTTAGAATGCTAAGAAGTACAGCTTTTAATGCAATCATTTTTTTGAGAAAGCAAGAATCCCCAGCTTTAAATGAGTGGTTAGATTTAGTTTCTAAAGTACATTATGGAGAGGATAACATTAAATTAAGAACAAATGTATACATTTTGAAAAGATATGTGCAACTCTAAAATCAAAGAATATTCCATAAAATAAAGGAATATATTGGCCTACATTAACTATACATTTTTATGTAACCTTCCCTTTTATTTCTAGTTATTTGTTATTTTATTTATTTACTTATTTAATA